GGCCAGCCTGCTGTCTGCAGGTCGATCACCACCAGCTCCTCCTCGGCCAGCACCACCAGGGCGTAGGGATCGTCAAAGGCTGGGGGTACAGGCCAAGGATCAGGGGCCAGGAGGAAGCAGCCCAGCCCCATGGAATCAGAAGCTCAGGGTGGGAACCGGAGCACCTACAGATCCAGAAAGCCTGGCCTTGGCTGCTTGAGCGACGTTTTTCCACCTCCAAGAGAGCAGCAGGTGAGGGAAGCAGCCCTGCCTGTAGCTGCCAGCTGAGCTAACTGGCACAGGGCTCCCGGGAGGAACACACCTGGCTGGACAGCAGGGTCCCAACCAGGGAAGAGGCCCTGGGCCCTTCAGCTGCGCCTGCAGGCCCTCTTCCACCCTGGCTTCCCCCTCCACGTGGCCGATTCTGCCTGCTCAGGGCAACCAGCCGTGGCTCGGACATGCAGGAGTGGCAATGTGGCTTTTAACACACAGCTGCATGGGGTAGCATTTTCTTGCTGCACAGAACAACCTCCCTCAGGCCCAGGCCCAGTCGGCCCTCAGTGAACGTGCACTGGCGACAAAACCATTCATCTCTCTTCTTCATCCCCTGGCTCCTGGGCCCTTCCTCCACAGCCCAGGCTGGTCTCGCCAGGATCTCACCCAGCACTGGACCCTCGTGCACCTGTGAAGGCTACCTCCAGGCTCACCCTCAGGTCACCGGCCCAAAGCAGAGGCCCAGCAGACTGCTTCGGTTCCACCTGAAGTCAGTATGCTTCTCAGCTTGCCACTTGCCCCTCACAGACTGGCACGTTCTGCTTAAGAGCCTGAGCACATCGGCCCCCAGGCCCAGAGAGGGCCGTCAGCTCCCCTGTCCTGCACAGCCTCTTGAATGGGTGGCCCATCCTCTCTGCCTCCACTTCCTACTCTCCCCTTCTCTTTTGAATTCTTTGCAATTAGGCTTTTGTCCTCAGCAAAAAGTGCTCGTCTAGTTCACCAATGACCTCACGCTGACACCCTCCAATGGCCAAGTGTCCATCATCACCCGTCTGGACCTCTGGACCTCACACCGCTGACCACGCCTTCTTTTGAGGCACTTATCCTCCCCTGCTTCTCTGGGGTCTCCGCCCACCAGCTCCCCTCAGGTTTTCTTCGCCAGGTCCCCGTCAAGCTCCGTACCTCCAAAGCCTCAGGGTTCCTGGTTTAGTTTTTGGACGGCTTCTCTTCTGGCTCCCTCACTACCTGGGCAGCCTCATCTGGTCCTACGACTTTACATATCGTTCTGTGGTTGAATCTAAACGGGTACCTTCCAGATCGCTCTTCTGAACTCCAGACTCCTAATCACCAGTTGCCTACTCAGCGTCTCCCCGTGGAAGTCCTCAAACTTGATTCCCGGCCACTAGAAAGCTTGCTGTCCCTGTCCCTCAGCCTTCTCCAAGTTTCCACGGTACTCCATCCAAACCCCTCACGTCATCCTTGAGTCACCTCTCCTCCTTTCCCTCACCTCTGCCTAGATGAGAAGCGGCCGATTACAGCCTGAGGCCAAATCTGACCCGCTGCCTAATTCTGTAAATCAAGTTGCACTGGAATATAAGACCAGCCCCTTACTGTCATTTGCTCTGCAACAGCAGGCTGAGTAACTGTGATGGAGAAGGCTGATCAGGTATTTATAGAAACAGCTTGTGGACACTGACCTAGACCCTCAGTCAATCTTAGAAAAAAACAATCTAGGCTGGGTGCAGTGGTCCGAGACCAGCCTGGGCAACATAGCGAGACCTGGTCTCTACTAAAAAAATTAAAAACTAGCCCGGTGTGGTAGTATATGCCTGTAGTCCCAGCTACTTGGGAGGCTGAGGCAGAAGGATCGGCTGAGCCTAGGAGTTGGAGGCTGGTGAGCTGTGATCATGCCGCTGCACTCCAACCTGGGCAACAGAATGAGATCCTACTTCAAAAAAAAAAAAAAGAAGAAGAAAATAGCTGGGCGCAATGGCTCATGCCTATAATCCCAAAACTTTGGGAGGCAGAGGAGAGAGGATTGCCCGAGCCCATGGACTCCAGACCAGCTTCAGCAACATGGCGAGACCTCGTCTCTACAATAAATAAAAAAATTAGCTGGGCAAGGTGGCACATGCCTGTAGTTCCAGCTACTTGGAAGGCAGGGGTGGAAAGATCAACTAAGCCCAGCAGGTCAAGGCTGCAGTGGCTGTGAGCATGCCATTGCACTCCAGCCCGGCAACGGAGTGAGACTCCGACTCAAAAAAGAAGTAAATATAGTCTAAACCCAGTCACCTCCCACCAGCCCTGTGGCTTCCACTGTGGCCTGAGCCACACTCACCTCTCTCTGAAGTCTCATGGGGATTTCATCTTGACTCCTGCTTCCCCACATGGCAGCCAGATCCTTTTTTTTTTTTTTCTCTAATTTTTGTAGACACAAGGTCTTGCTATGTTGCCTGGGCTGGTCTCAAACTCCTGGGCTCAAGCACTCCTTCTGCCTTGCCCTCTCAGAGTGCTGAGATTACAGGTGGGAGCCACCACACCCAGCCCCAGGCAGATCCTTTTTGAACGAGGCCAGATCATGGCACCTTTGCTTGAGGCCCTCATCTCTGTCAGAATGAACCAAAGCCCTTACCAAGTCCCTCCATGGCCCTATATGATCTGGCTCTGACCACAGCTGGAGTCATCTCCACGGTCACTCTGACCTCCCTCCACCCCTGCCTCATGGGAGCAAGCCGAGAGTTTGCCCAGTTCAGAGTCTCTGCACCCCAAGTCCCTATGGGGCGGGCCCACGCACGTCATTTCAGTATCTACTCAGATCTGTCCCCTTACCAGGGAGGCCTCGCCGACCCCCACCTAAACTGGCACTAAGCCCCACCCCAACCCTGGCCTTGCTTTTTTCTTGCCTCTGACATGATTTGCCAACCTGCTCACTCACTCTGTCTCCCCACACTAAAATCTTTTTTTTTTTGAGTTGGAGTCTCACTCTGTCGCCCAGACTGGAGTGCAGTGGCACGCTCCCAGCCACCGCAGCCTCAACCTGCTGGGCTCCAGCGATCCTTCCGCCTCAGCCTTCTGAGTAACTGAAACTACAGGCGTGCACTACCACGCCCAGCTAATTTTTTGATTTATTGTAGAGATGAGGTCTCACCAAGTTGCCCAGGCGAGTCTCGAACCCACGGGCTCAGGCAATTCACTCACCTCAGCCTCCCAAGGCGCGGGATTACAGGCTGAGCCACCGAGCCCGGCTCCACACTGAAATCTAAGTCCCATGGGAGCAAGAGCTTTGTCTCTTCCGGGAAGAACGCCTGGCATGTAGTAGTGGTTCACAAATTAGGAAAGCCTACAGGGGCCACCTGGCCAGAGCAATTATATGAGAACCTCATGGCACCCATATCTTGCCTGAGGGGTGTACCTCTTATCAGGTACCCATATCCTGTGAGGTGTTTGGGACAGAGATGGATGATTACAGGAAGGTGGCCTGCCCTGGAAAACCCCTCCAGTCCTAAAAATGCAGCTCAGCAAGTTTCTCTCCCGCCTTCCTGACCACTCTGCTGGGGGCCAGGTGACCCAATTACCAAGGAAAGTGGAGCCATCATAGCTCGGGAGACTCTAGCTATGGGCCAAGTGGCACCAACTGATTTGGAAAAGGCAGTGCTAGGCCTGCTCTCAGTATCCAGGACATGGAGGAAAAGCAGGTCTGGAGTCCGCTACACGGGGGAGAAGCAACGAGAACACAGAACAGGTGTTCTGAGCAACGCTGCCTCCCTCTTCGAGGCCCTGGGCCCTTCCAGGCCAGAGTTATTAGGAAGGCCCCGCCCTCCCGGAGAGCTCCAAAGGCCTCCTCTTCTCTCCAGATTTTGACATCAGCCCTTTCTGGTCTGGCCTGTCACCTGACTTAGGACGTTGACTCAGGGCTTTGCTGTTCTGCCCTGAGCTCTAGGAAGCCGGTGCAGAGTTGGGCCCGCATGGCCACCTCCTGCCACGCCCAGAAGGCAGGCATCGCCATGTCCCGGCTAGGACCCTCTGGCCTCAGCAGGGTGGGTGTTAAATCTAACGAAGCAGATCTGCCCCCATCAGGGCTGAGGAGGGCAGAGAGAGCCTGAGGCAGGCAGGAGGCGTGGCCAGGCCGGGTCTCCAGCTGGGGAGGGTGACGAAGGGAGAGGAAAGGGCTGTGGGCCTCGGTGGCACTAAGAAGGGGTGCCGTGAGGCCGAGAAACCCAGGCCAGGGCCAGGTTTGGGACCCCGTGCAGGCCCCGCCTCCCTATCCACGGACCCACCCCACACCTCCCACACCTAACCCTGTCTTCTCCAAAGCGCTCCTACCGGCCGCAGGGTCTGCCTCAGTGAGGACAGTGAAGTCGATGACGCGGGAGGTGACGTCGAAGGCCGTCTGTTGGCCATCATGGACCACTGAGATACAGTGACGGTCCCCGTAGCTGGCCCGTGGCATGCCACCCTGGAAGATGGTGAAGGGCAACCTGGCAGGCACAGAGGAGCGGGGATGGGCTGGGGCTCCCGGCCTGACCCCCAACAGCCACAGGCTGGCAGCAGGTAAGACAGTGACCAGCCTTTGTGACAGGCCCTGGGGTCCCAGTGCTGGGCCCCACTCTTCCAGGAGGGAGGCCCGTCTCAGAGTGGTCACTCAAGGTCCCTCGGAGGGGGCGGGCTGGACCCCCAATCTTTCCGACTACAACAGCCCAGGAGAACCTGGGGCGAGACGGGGGCGTCTGGGCTGGGGGTTCTGCATCCCAGCAGCCACTCCTGCTGCAACCAGAGTGCCCCACCATCGGCTTAAACAGCAGGCCTCCCTGCACGATTCTGTCTGGAGAAACAGGACTGCCACTAAAGGAGTCTGCAACCTGCTGATGGAAATCACCTTTCTGGAAGGGTGGAAGGAAAGAGCCAGAGGGGACTTTGCAGGAATTGAGCTGTTGAGAGGTGGAAACAGCATCTGCCCTTTCTCCCTTCCCTGGCAGCCGAGACCCCCAACGTGAGACTCAAGGATGTTCACTGGCCACTGTCTCCCGAGCAGGGGGCTGAGTAGCCTCTCCAAGCCCACCAAGAAAGCTCTAGAAAGGGAAAAGGACAGGATACCAACAACACCTACCCTTGCTTGGTGGTCAGCCAGAAGATTTTGGTAATAGCTTTGCAAGGAAAGGGACCTAAAAGGAAAGGAATCGGCTTGACCAGAGCCTCCCGCTCTTAGACTCACATCGGTCCCCGTGGGCACAGACCCCTTGGGCTCACACCCACACACACATGGTGGACCTATGCTTGGGAGTCTTGCTCCGAGTAGTGCCCTGAGAAACTGGGCATCAGGAAAACCACTGTGCAGCTTTAGACTTTCTGACCCCCAGGGTTTGCTTCTACGAGTTGAGCTTCCTACACCAGAATCTAGGAAAGACCAGGGTGGGCCGCAGGCAGGGCTAGGGCCCACCGGGCAGGTAAAACACTGACCATAAGGCACGAAGCTACGGAGGGGCTCTGGCTGCTGGGCGTCACTGGCCACTGGCCACTGGCAGTAGCTGCCATCGGAGTGGCAGCTGACAAGCAGGCGGCCATCCCGCTGCCAGCAGACATTCTCCAGTTGCTGAGAAGGAAAGGGAGAGAGCCGCTGGCTGGGACCAGAGTGCCGTCCCCATCTCTCATACCCCCACGCTCTGGCCCAGCGGGTGGACACGCCTACCTGGCTACTGAGGAAGTGGTAGAGCACACGGCTGCCCTGCAGGTCCCAGAGGACGACAAGGCCTCGGCTGTAGCCAATCAGGATCTGGTTGGGGTCTCGTGGGTGTTCCTGCAGTGCCTCCACCATCTCAAAGACCCGCCGGTGGCGGGCCTCCTCTGGCAGCCTGGACAAGGGGAGGGCCATGAGCCTGCACCATCACCCACCAAAGGGCACAGCCCAGAGCACGGCACAACTGCTCAGGGCTCTCCACGCAGGGGCAGGCGTTCCATGTGCCAGCTTAGAAAGATAGCTAGGACTATCACCTAGACAACATGTGGAACAGGACAGCACTATGCAAACAACCCCTGTGGGAGCAAACACAGGTGGTACAGCTCTAAAAAGAAGAAAGAGACTTCCAGAATCTCTTCCTTGTGGAGGTGGGAGAGAACCGTGACTGGGAAGGGCATGTGGGGACCCCCAGGGGGCTGGCAAAGTTCTATTTCTTCATCTTTTTCTATTATTTTTTAGAGATAGGGTCTTGCTATACTGCCTAGGATGGTCTTGAACTTCTGGCCTCAAGCGATCCTCCTGCCTCAGCCTTCCAAGTAGCTGAGATTACGGGCACGCACCACCGTGCGCAGCTAGCAAAGTGCTGGTGGTGGGTGGTGGCTGCAAGGGTGCTCACTGTATGAGTATCCACTAGGCGGCCGGGCATGGTGGCTCACGTCTATAATCCCAGCACTTTGGGAGGCCGAAGTGAGAGGACTGCCTGAGCCCACAGATTCGGGATCAGCCTGGGCAACTTGACGACACCTCATCTCTATAACAAATCAAAAAATTAGCCAGGCATGGTGGTACGTGCCTGTAGTTCCAGCTACTTGCAGAAAGCTGAGGCAGAAGGATCATCTGAGCCCACCAGTTAGAGGCTGCGGTGACCAGGAATGTGCCATTGCACTCCAGAAGGAGTGACAGAGTGAGACCCCAACACACACACACACACACACACACACACACACACGAATCCACTAGGCCAGGCGTGGTAGTTCCTGACTATTAATCCCAGCACTTTGGGAGGCCAAGGCAGGACTGCTGGAGACCAGAAGTTTGAGACCAGCCTGGACAACATAGTGAGACCTTGCATCTACAAAAAAAAAAAAAAATTAGGCATAGTGGTGTACACCTGTAGTCCCAGTTACTCAGGAGGCTGAGGAGGAAGGAGTGCCTGAGCCCAGGAGGTCAAGGGCCACAAAGTGAAACTCTGACTCAAAAAAAAAAAAAAGAATCCATTGAACAGTACCATTTACATTCAGTGCATTTCTGTAAATAGGTGTATTTCATAATAAAGTAGTTTTTTGGACCCACAGAGCAACACGTGCTATATTAGTTGGTCTAACCCTTGAGTCTTGACCTCTTCCTCTTCTTAGGGCCTGGGAGGCAGATGTGAGGGCAAGGCAGCAAGCATAGGATGAAGAGCCAGCAGCAAGGATGCTGAATGGGAAGTAGGAACAGCCTGGACCCGAACCACACTGAGCTCAGGCTCTCTACACGGCCTGTGTCTTGCCCACACACGGCCAGTACTGGCCTCACCGAAATGAGAATGTGAAATCAAAGGGGACTTTCACTTCATGGTTAAAATGTTAATCTTTGAAGAGGATTCCGGGATGATGGATGACTTACATAATTAAAAGATAAATCTCTCTTAAATTGAAAGTAGACAACGTAAGAATGACGTCTTCTTGGAAATTCATAGAGAAGCATCAAGAAGAACATCAAAGGAAGCTGTACAACACGGCTGAGGCTGTCACTCAATCCCTGGTCTCTGCCCTACAGGCTGTCCTCTTGTAGGCCTGTGTCCTCTTGAAGGCGTCCGCCTTCATTTAAAAACTGAAATCCTGGCCAGGCTCGGTGGCTCAGCCTGTAATCAATCCCAGCACTTTGGGAGGCCGAGGCGAGTGAATTGCCTGAGTCCGTGGGCTCGAGACCCACCCGGGCAACTTGGCAAGACCTTGTCTCTATAATAAATCAAAAATTGGCTGGGCGTGGTAGTGCATGCCTGTAGTTCCGGTTACTTGGAAGGCTGAGGTGGAAGGGTGGCTGGAGCCCAGCAGGTTGAGGCTGCGGTGGCTGGGAGTATGCCACTGCACTCCAGTTTGGGTGACAGAGTGAGACTCCAACTCAAAACAAAACAAAACAAAAAAAATCTGGAATCCTACTGTAGGCATAGTTTTGCAACTTATTTTTTTCCTACCTAAATAGAACATGGACATTTTCTCCTGTGTTTAAATATTATATATTCTTCAAGGTATTCTTTTATTTTTTAAGATACAAGGTCATGCTCTGTCACCCAGGCTAGTGACAGTGTACAATCATAACTCACTGCAGCCTCAAACTCCTGGGTTCAAGCCATCCTCTCATCTCAGCCTCCCAAGTAGCTGGGACTATAGTATGTACCACCACACCCAGCTAAAGATGTTCTTTTTTTTTTTTTTTTTTAGTTAGAGTCTCACTGTGTCGCCCAGGCTGAAGTGCAGTTTGACCTGCTGGGCTCAGGCAATCCTCTCACCCAGCAGTTCAAGGCTGCGGTGGCCGGGAACATGCCACTGCACTCCAGCCTGGGAAACACAGTGAGACTCCAACTCAAAAAAATAAATAAAAATGAAATACATGGTATCCGTGCAAAGGAAACTGGACTAAGAGTTGGTGATATTATACAGTTATTTGGGGACCTTAAATGACGTAACCCCCAGCAAGCACCTCCACCTTTTTTTTGAGTGAGGATCTTACTCTTTCGCCCAGGCTGGAGTGTAATGACACAATCACAGCTCACACAGCCTCGATCTCCTGGGCTCAGGAGATCCTTCCACCTCAGCCTCCTGTGTAACTGGAATTACAGGTACATGCCATCACACCCGGCTAATTTTTTTATTTTTTTGTGGACAAAGTCTTGAAGTCCTGGACTCAAGCAATTCTCCCCCCTCAGTTTCCCAAAACGCTGGGATTATAGGTGTGAGCCACTGCCCCCCGGCCCCAAGACTCCCCACCTTTTTTTTGAGTTGGAGTCTCACTCTGTCGCCCAGACTGGAGTGCAGAGGCATATTTGCGGCACTGCAACCTTGACCTGCTGGGCGCTAGCGATTCTTCTGGGCACTAGCGATCCTTCCACCTCAGTCTTCCAAGTAGCTGGAACTACAGGCATGTGCTACCACGCCTGGCTTATTTTTTTATTTATTGGAGAGACAAGGTCTCACTAAATTGCCCAGGCTGGTCTTGGACCCTGAGCTTAGGTAATCCTCTCGTCTCGGCCTCCCAAAGTGCTAGGATTACAGGCTTGAGCCACCGTGCCCAGCCAAGACCCCCTGTAATGCTATTGATGCTAACATATTGTGGGTCAATAGAGTCTTAATTTGGGGCACAGAGAGGGACTGAGAGTCTTTCCTCCCGTCCCCCATAGGCTTCCCAGTGCAATTTTTTTTTAAAGTCAGAGTCTCACTCTGTCACCCAGGCTGGAGTATAGTGGCACGTTCACAGTCACCGCAGCCTCAACTTGCTGGGCTCAGGTGATCTTCCGTCTCAGCCTTCTAAGTAGCTGGAACCACAGGTGTACACCACCACACCTGGCTAATTTTTTGATTTACCATAGAGATGAGGTTTCGCCATGTTGCTCAAGCTGGTCTCGAACCTGTGGCCTCAGGCAACCCTCTCACCTCTGCCTCCCAAAGTACTGGGATTACGGGTGTGAGCCACCGCGCCTGGCTCAATGTAGCAATTATCAGCTGCTGAGCAACACCACTGGGGACCAAGGGGAAAAGCTTCCAACAGCAGCAGGGTCTCTGGGCTCACCACTGCAGCACGGCGTCTGAGCTGATGGTCTGGTCCTCCAGAGTGTGGAAGGCTGGCAGTTGCACCACAAACACGTTGCCACTCTCAGTGCCCAGGTAAAGCAGCTCTCGGGAAGAATGTGGCAGGACCAAAGTGATCTGCGTGGCACTGGGGGCGGCCCTGCCGACGGAACAGCTACCCATGAGCTGGCTACTGCCCAGGCAGGGGAGACCCCATGAACAGGACCCCTGACTCCCAGCTACCCTCGTGGGCCCCAGAGAAGGTCTGGCCTAGGGAAAACAGGTCCATTGACAGGGTTCACCATGTCTCAGACCAGGACAAACACTGGTTACTTTCTGCTAAGCCAGGAGGCAGGGCCCTCTGAGTGACACAGCACAGCACGGGGCTGGAAGTGGCAGCTCCCAGCCCTGCCTACTCCACTCAGGGCACGTGAGCATGGAGATGCACCTGGGCATACATGCCAGGCACTGGCAAGGGTGCAACAGGGCCTTCAAAGGGTGAGCCCACCCTGGAGTTGGGGGCAAGGGTTAGGCCGGGCCGGGAAAGGAAGGGGACCACTAGGTCCTTACCCTGGGGAGCCACGCAGCATGAAGCGCGCATCTTCCTGCAGCTCCGACACCTTGCCCTTGATCTTCAGGCTCCATAGGTGCAGGCTGTTGTCGTCCAGCAGGGTGACCAGCTGGCACTAGAGAGGGAATGGACAGAGATGACAGGAGCATGCTGTTTCATCACCCAGGGAGGGCCAGCAGTCACCGAGGCCTTTACACACTGTGGCAGCCCAGCCCAGACTGGTTATTCCAAAGAGCCTCACAACCAAAAGACCCCTGGCTACTCTCGGGGCAGCTCGTGAGCCCCACCTAAGGCAAGGGAGGGCGTCCCAGGTCTCCCCAACCACCAAACCCAGAGTGCCAAATGCTGGCCCTTCCACACCACCCTGCTGGAAGTGAGGGTAAGACGGGCATGGAGGCTCCCTGCTCCCCCCAGCCCAGGCCCCTCACCTGGCCAGGCAGGAAGTGGATCTGCATCACCGCGTTGTTCTCCCGGTGCAGCCCCATGAACTCCACCCCCGGCGCTCCATAGCTAGGAGTTGGCTCAGGAAAGCTCTGGAGGCTGGACACCATCCCCCACCTGCCCCGAGTGCCGGGCCCTCTGGGCCCCCATGCAAGGGTCTCACTCTCACCCAGGCTGGAGTACAGTGGCATGATGACAGAGAAGGGCTGCCCTCCTTCCAGACAGCAGGACCCACGTTCAGGGCTCTGGTGCACTCAGCCAGTAACCTCACCCCTAGGGGACTTTTCCCAGTCAGGTGGGAAGGGGCAACTCCTTAGAAAGGGGAAGCCCTGGCGGGGCTCGGTGGTTTAGCCTGTAATCCTAGCACTTTGGGAGGCTGAGGTGAGTAGATTGCCTAAGCCCGTGGGTTCAAGACCAGCCTGGGCAACTTGGCAAGACCTCATCGCTACAATAAATAAAAAATTAGCCAGGCATGGTAGAGCGCACCTGTACTTCCGGCTACTTGGAAGGCTGAAGCAGAAGGATCACCAGGGCCCAGCAGGTCAACACTGGGGTGGCCATGAGCATGCCACTGCACTCTAGCCTGGGCGACAAAGTGAGACTCCAACTCAAAAAAAAAAAATAATAATTTTTTTTTAAATAAAGGGGAAGCCCTATATTGGTAACTGTTAGGCAGCCACCCTCCTTACCCCCACCCCTTCAACCTGAGCTGACCCATTAGCTGTCGTTTGATGGCACCTGTGAGAAAACACAGGGTACCCCCGTGGGCCCACTCCCAACAGCCTTGGCCTGTGAGTCTTGGCACTGGGGATCAGCAGGACCTGGCTGTAGCCTGGCAATGATTAACCAGCCCAGCCTGCCACTACAGCAGGCCGCACCCCCCAGCCCCCACTGCTGTGGCAAAAAAAGAATAGGACAGAGCTAGGAAGAGGTGCCAGCCTGGCTACCCAAGTTGGCCTCTCATTTCCCAACGCCCCTAGGCTCCACCCTGGTAGTGCAGGTCAGATGGGGGGGGTGTCCAAGACTTGCAGCCCCTGCAGACTTGTCCCTGAAACCACGCAGAACCCTCAGTCAGCCTGAGGACTGATGTCTCAGGTAAAAGATGACCCAACTGGATGATGTCCAGCCTCAGGCCAGGGAAGGACTGTCCCTGCCAAGCAGGAGTCCTCTCTCCTCTCTGGTGTGTGTGGGGGGAGGCGGGGGGGATGAAATCTGGAAGGGCTGCTGCCCTGGTGCTGCTCCCCACACCAAGGCTGCACCATCTCTGCTTGTGGACAGAACCCCGGGGCCAGTCTACTTCTGACTCCTACTGGGAAAAAGGTTAAAAAAAAGTTCTCTTTGGCCTGTCACCTGCCTCCACTCACTGTGTTCAGTGCCGACTCCCAAGCAGTTATGTGGAATGTCTCGCCCCACAATATCAAAATAAAAAATATTGATATAAAAAAAAAAAGGAATGTCTCCAGGGACCAGAGGGGTCACCTGCAACTTGGTTTTGTGGGGGTGGGGTGGAGCTGGGGAAGAGAAACACATAAAGGCCCAGAACTCCCCAGTCGTAGCCTGAGCAGGGGGTCAGGAGGACGTCCCCCAGATTCTGACCCGCTGGCCAGCTGCTCACTTACTGGACACTGGCTGAGATATGAGCATCACGCCCTGCTCTCTGGGAGCCCTCTCAACCCCTAGGGTAGCCCCTGCAAAACAGGTCTCTGAGGCCCCACACCCTGCCAGGGCAGAGGAAAAAGGCATCAGGGCCAAGTCTCTCTCCTCAGGGCACATTGCCCAGCCACACAGGGCCCCCCACATAGCCCTTCCCGGAACAGATTCATGAAACTTCCAGCGATAGGAAAGAAAGGGAAAAGAAGCCGGGCTCAGTGGCTCAGCCTGTGATCCCGCACCTTTGGGAGGCTGAGGTGAGTGGATGGCCTGAGCCCGTGGGTTCAAGACCCGCCTGGGCAACTTGGCGAGACCTCATCTCTACAATAAATCAAAAAATCAGCCGGGCGTGGTAGCGCGCGCCTGTAGTTCCAGCTACTCGGAAGGCTGAGGCGGAAGGATCGCCCGGAGCCCAGCAGGTCAAGGCAACGGTGGTTGGGAGCGGCCACTGCATTCCAGTCTGGGCGACAGAGTGAGACTCCGACTCAAAAAAAAAAAAAAAGAAAGGGAAAAGGGGTAGAGAGGATGACAGGAACGGCCCTGAAAGGACACATGAGACAAAACACACCTATGCCTCCTTGGTTAATTTCAAACTCCCTCCTCTCCCAAAGGACAGGTCTGCGGCTCACCAAGCTCAGTTCTTCCGTCAACTGCACCCTCCCCGCCTTGTGAAAGAAAAATCCCTTCCAAAGCTGGGAATCAGGAAAGTCCTGATCTTATCCCAACAGCCCATGGGCCAAGAGAGAAAAAAATGTCCCAAGGTTCCCATCCCCTCCGGGCGGGAGCTGGGGATATGGAAGGATACAGCTTGACAGCTCCAGAGCGGGTGCCGATGGCCAGGATCCGCAGGGACGGGCTGTAGCCGAGGGCGCTGGGCTGGTGAGGGAAGCCATGCTCCACCGTCTGCAACAAGAAGCACGTGGTACGAGCCTTAAGACCTGTCCCCTCTGCCACACCCTAGCTGAGGCCGGTGCTGGATGGTGGAGTCACAACACAGCCACACCATAAGGAAGCAGGGGTTCAGTCTCTTCTGGGTTCCTCCCAGACACCTGAGTGCTGAAGCCAAACCCTGACCAGTCCAGGTCCCACCCTGACTCCATTTTTGACCCTGGCCTTGGCTGCAGGGCCATTCCCACAAGTTTGTTCTTGCAGACCCCATGCCAGCCACCTGATGCTCTCTAGGAACCAACTGGGTGCCTCACCATCTGAACCCTGAGTGACTGCCCTGGCTCTCCTGCAGCAGTAGTTGGGGCCTCATGTGGGTGTCAGGTAGGGAAAGTTGGGGGGCTGGCACATGGTGACATCGGTTCCTCAGGGAGAAAGCCTGGTTGGACCACCGCTCCAGGCCCACCCTGGGGCCTGAGGGTGCCACTGGGGCCCTGACTGGCTCTGGGCCATCCCAGGTCCCTCCAGTCCCGTCTTCTGTGTCTCACGTAGCCTTGTCATCACTGAGTTTTCCTCAACCATCTTACCAGGGGGAACATTTCTGGACGTTGTTGCAGATACATGCTTTTGTTCAGTTCTTACTGCAGAAGTAACACATACACACTCTAGAAAACTCGGAACACATAAAGGAGTTTCAAAACAAAAATTACCCAGACTCCCACAACCAGAAGTAACTCTGGCTAATATCTTGGTGCGTGTCTTTGTGTTTGCATGTGCATGTCCGTATTTAAAAACAGAGACATAACCGGGAAACTGGAATCATGCCGTGTAAATATACATATACACGCTCGGGTACAAGCATAGCTTTGTAACCTGTTTTCCCACTCAAAAGTCAGCCTAAGCCAGGCTTGGTGGCTCAGCCTGTAATCCCGCGCCTTTGGGAGGCTGAGGTGAGTGGATTGCCTGAGCCCACGGGTTCAAGACCCGCCTGGGCAACTTGGCGAGACCTCATCTCTACAATAAATCAAAAATTAGCTGGGCGTGGTAGCATGTGCCTATAGTTCCAGCTACTTGGAAGGCTGAGGTGGAAGGATTGCTGGAGCCCAGCAGGTCAAGGCTGCGGTGGCCGGGCGCGGCCACTGCACTCCAGTCTGGGCGACAGAATGAGACTCCAACTCAAAAAAAAAAAAAAAAAGTCAGCCTAGCTCCTCACAAACTCTAAAACGACTTTTAAACAGCTGAAGAATACTTCTTACCTGGAGATGCCCTAACTCACCAGGCCTCTGTTGTTGAGCGTGTGCTTTGTTTCTAGAGGTTTTGCAGTTGTTAACTCCATGTACTGCATACTTGGACTCCTAGCGTTTTCTGCAATTCTTGAGTAGTCCCTGAAGCGGATGTCCCAGGGATGAGATTGCAGTTTAAAAGGTATGAGTGGAAACACCACATATTTAGAATGACAAACTATCTTCAGGAAAGCTTATCGGTTGTTTCGTACTCAGCTATCCCAGCTAACCCCCATGTCACATTCCTGGGGATGCTGACCCTGTAGAACTAGGTGAGAGTAGAAGAGCAAAGCTAATCAGTCTTTTATTTTTATTTTTTTTGAGTTGCAGTCTCACTCTGTCACCCAGACCGGAGTGCAGTGGCATGCTCCTGGCCACCACAGCCTCGACCTGCTGGGCTCCGGCGATCCTTCCACCTCAGCCTTCCAAGTAGCTGAACTACAGGCGCGCGCTATCACGCCCGGCTAATTTTTGATTTATGTAGAGATGAGGTCTTGCCAAGTTGCCCAGGTGGGTCTCGAACCCGCGGGCTCAGGCAATCCACTCACCTCAGCCTCCCAAGGCACGGGATTACAGGCTGAGCCACCGAGCCTGGCTTAAAGCCTTTTTTTTTTTAAACCAGAGACTCTGTCCTGCAGAAAAGGTTGCACCAGCGAGGTAGCCTTGTTGGCGCCGGGGCTCTCCTACTTTGCAGCCTGGTCAGGTCTCAACGCAGTAGGAGGAGATAAGTCCCTGTGACAGCTAGCGTGGTAACGTGGTAACGTAGCAACCTCAATTGCTACCTGCCTCTGCACCAGTCCAGCCCAGCAGCTCTAGGAAGGAATTCCATGCTGGGTCAGCCTGGGAGGAAAACTCCAATGACATTCAGGTTGAATAAGTAGAATAAGTAGGATAAGCGGGGTAGCGGGGGAGGGGTGTGCCTTGAACATGGCTCTCTGCCAGGAATACAGCCTGCCTTGCAAATGGCCATACCTGGATGGGACAGCCAGAAGGCAGAAGGGGCCCAGCAGGAGTCCCCAGTCCAGCCCAGGTCCCTGTTCAGCTATGTAAAAAATGCAGAGCCTGGAAAAGGCTTGGGTAGATAGCTGAGTGTCTGGAATGTAAACATTTCCCAGGAAAAGGAGGGTAGGGAATGGGACAGACCTTGTGAGACAAGCTCTCCCAGGGGCCCTGCTAGACCTAGCCAGCCCCTGGTTGCTGGAACCTCAGGAAGTCAGCAGCCAGAGAGGCCCAGAGAGGGTTCCTGAGACAACAGCATTTTCCCATCACTACCACCAGCAGCTAGGAGCAAAAGTCTCTGGAATCTGGAGAACTCCGATAGAACATCCTATAGGAGCCTGGTGGCTGGTAGCAGGCGGCACACCCCGAGATGCCTACAACAGTAGATGTATACTAAGAACCTGCAATGCAGCTGGTACCACCAAGGAGAATGTTCAGTTCGGTGACTAGAAGCCCTGAAGCTTCTAGTTCCATGTCTGGAACAACTTGGGTTCCCGGAGAACTGGGGATGGACTCAAGCCCTCTAAGCTTTGAATCTCCCTTTTCAACTGTAAATCTTCCAAACTCTAAATATAGATCAAGTATTTCCAAAGAAAATGTAATGTCTGAATTGAGATGTGCTTTAAGATACATCCAGATCTCAAAGACTTAGTATGCAAAAAAAAAAGCCGTAAAAATCTCATTACAGTAGTAATTTATGTTAGTCATGTAGTCAAACAATATTTTGGGTATGTTGGACTAAAGTTAATTTCACTTGTTCAAAAATTTTAAGCCAGGCATGGTGGCTCACACCTATAATCCCAGCACTTCGGGAGGCCGAGGCGAGAGGATTGCCTGAGCTCAAAGGTTTGAGACCAGCCTGGGCAATGTGACAAGACCTTCCCTCTACAATAAATAAACTTAGCTGGACATGGTGGCACATGCCTGTGATTCCAGCTACTTGAAAGGCTGAGGCAGAAGGATTGCCTGAGCCGAGCAGGTTGAGGCAGCAGTGGCCGTTGAGTGTGCCATTACACTCCAGCCTGGGTGGCAGAGTGAGACTCTGACTCAAAAAAAAAAAAAAAAAAAAAAAAAAGACTAGGCCTGGTGGCTCAGGCTGTAATCCAAGCACTTTGGGAGTCCAAGGCGAATGAGTTGCCTGAACCCAGGGGTTCGAGACCAGGCTCTATAAAACACAAAAAACTAGCCAGGCATGGTGGCACTTGACTGTATAGTTCCAGTTACGTGGAAGGCTGAGGCAGAAGGATCACCTAAGCCCAGCAGGTCGAGGCTGCGGTGGCTGAGAGTGTGCCACTGCCCTCCAGCCTGGGCAACGGAGCGAGACTCCAACTCAAAAAAAAAAAAAAATATATATATATATATAAAATGCAACTTCTAGAAAATTTAAAATTACATCCATGGCTTATGTTATGTTCCTATTGACCTACACAGTTCATCAGGAGGGTCAAGCCAGAGAAAAGAGTCTGCGGCTCTTTGTTGGCCTCTCAGCCCATTCGCTCTTGGCAGTTCTCCTAACATCTCACCTGAGTCACTCCTGCTGCGGGTCAGCAGCTTTTCTCTAACCCACAGGAGGACAAAGATTGGGTCGACCCTTCAATCACTCGTGTTCGTGCACTTCCTTTGAGGTCTGTGGTCATCCCTCTCCTCTCCACCTGCTTTCCCAAAGGCTGATTTAGAGCAGACACTGAGTCAGACCCACCAAGTTTTGAATCCCTTCCTGCCACATAAACGGAGTTTGGTCTTAGATGAGTTATTTTGCCTCTCTGGGCCTCTTTCCCCCCCTTTATTATTTGTTGAGACAGGGTCTTGCTCTGTTGCCCAGGCTGGAGTACCGTGGTGCAATCATAGCTCACTGTAGCCTCTAACTGCTGGGCTTCAGCAATCCTCCCACCTCAGCTCCCAAGTAGCTGGGACTACAGGCATGCACCACCATGCCCAGCTAACTTAAGAAAAAAAAAGAAAAAAAAAATATATGTATTTTTTTCTTTCTTAGTCAGGGAGTCACTCCATCGCCCAGGCTGTAGACTGGAATGCAGTGGCATGCTCACGGCCACCCCAGCATCAACCTGCTGGGCTCAGGTGATCCTTCCGCCTCAGTCATCCAAATAATTGTATTTATTTATTTACCGTAGAGACCAGGTTTTGCCAAATTGGCTAGGCTGGTCTCCAATCCATGGGCTCAGGCAATCCACTTGCCTCAGCCTCCCAAAGTGCCGGGATTATATGCTGCGCCACCGAGCCTGGCCAATACTTTGTTGTTGTTGTTGTTGTTTTGTAGAGATGGAGTCTCGCTATGTGCCCAAGTCCGTCTTAAACTCCTGGGGGGCTCAAATGATTCTCCCGCCTTGGCCTCCCAAAGTGCTGGAATTACAGGCATGAGACACTGAACCCAGCTGCATTTCCCATGTGATGAACGGGATGGTGCCAGTGATGGCATTGAGCAGGGCTGTCCTAGGATGGAACAGGATAAACCTTTGCTGGAGGTCTTGCTTCCTTTCATGAGGCTTGCTTCCTTCCAAGGCTCCACAAGCTTCTGTGGTATGCCCGGGGCATTTCTCCAAGTTGACAACTCTGAGGGACCAAGGCTCCCTCAAGAACAAAAAGAGGGGAGTGAATTTCACACGGATTCTACCTGGACAGGACCCAGTAGCATGGGTTGCAATGTAAATGGTGCGGCTCCCAGGGGATGCCCCGGGGAGGGGAGGGGAGGGGAGGGGAGGCAGCACCACATCAACA